TCATCAGCGTCTGCCGCTCCTCTGGAGAAAGACTTTCACTCTCCTTTTTCCATCAGTCGGATGTTACTAGTTGTGACACATGATCCATATTCCAGCTGCCTCCTCCTGGAGCTGGAGCCGCTTTTTTATTTCTAATTGGAAGCTTCAGGCTCAAAGTCAGACGAGAACTACTAAAGTATATCACAGACGTCAGACAAAAATCAAAGCATTTTTCTGTTCTGTTTCTGAGGATTCTTGAACGTTTTGTTACATGACACATGGAAAGGGCCAGGACTGAGGCTGTAGACCCAGGACTGAGGCTGTAGACCCAGGACTGAGGCTGTAGACCCAGGACTGAGGCTGTAGACCCAGGACTGAGGCTGTAGACCCAGGACTGGGTCAGGGTTTAGTAGTTTAGACTCAGAAAGATAAAACTTCTGCTATTGATGAGAAAACTGCAGCAATCATCATTAAACATTTTATGGCCCGTCTCTTTCCATTCGAACTTTCTCGTCGTGTGCAAACTGTAAAATGACTTTATCCAATCCATTTGTGTAAACACATCAACAAAACATGACTTATAATTTCCCCGAGTTGATTGCGAGCAGGTGACCTCAGCTTTACACAAACAGAACCATTAGTCTCCGTCCAGAATCAGCAGCGATAGAATTCCCCTGAAACGATCTGGATCCTCGTATTAACTTGTAAACACGTCTTGGCTCCGGGAGCGTTAGCTTCTGGCAGCCGTTAGCATGCTAGCAGACATTGCATCAGCGAGAGACCAGAGAGAGGACAAACAAGGACCGGACCCGACCCCGCCCGGCTCCACCCACGACTGCAGACTGGGATTCTACTTCAACGAGTCATTTATTTGTGTCTCGCCCTAAATCACAACAGGATTTACATCTGAGGACTTTACAAAGCTGTCGATCCGCCAACAACAGATCAGAGAATCAAGCAGCTCAAACTCAGGAAATGGAATGATAGAAAACACATCCATCCATCCATTTTCTTCCCCTTAATCCATTTCTGGGTCGGGGGGTGGCAGTCAGAGCTCCAGCCCCTCACTGAGCCTCCTGCAGGTGCTGAGTCCACAGGAGCTGAGATCTTTCAGCAGGGGCTTCAGGCAAAGTGGGGTTGAGTGTCTTGCCCAAGGACACAACGACAGCAGACATCAGTGGGAGTCGTGAAGTAGGTCTTATGGTGGGCTCGAACCCACAACCTTCAGGCTCAAATGCTTTACCAACTGAGCCACTGTTGCCCCAATGACCAATGTCCATAAATGTCTTATTATCTGTCTGAAAAACGTCTCGATAGACCGACCAGCAGGTGGTGTGACTGAGGCAGAGGACATGGAGGAACAGTTTTAAAGGTAAATCTGTCTTGTCATGTTTGTGGCTTAGGAGGTTCTTGTAAGAGTCGCGTCACACCATTAGAAGTCTGCTTAAATATCGGCCACGAAGGACAGGGAAATATGTTTTAGTTCAGATCGAATACAAGTTTTGTGCTTCCAAATTCCCATCAGATTGAGACTATGAGAATCCAGAAAATCACTTTGCAAATCATGGTGGAAATGAGTCTTTAGTCTCCTTCAAACAAGAAAGATGTCTGTCTCTCCCAGACCTTCTCCTGGTCTCTGTCTTCCTCCTGGTACCTGTGCTATTAGCACAGAACCTGTTACCTGTGTACTGAGGTCAGAGACACAGCTGTAGACCTGCACCAGGATGGGAAGACTGAACCTGCGATAGGTAAGGGGTGTGAGGACATCAACTGGTGGCCGACTAAATACTTTTTGTCCCCACCGTGTACTTTATAGTTTCCCCACAGTGGGACTAAGGAAGCTTCTTATAGCAGAAGTACTGAGCCACAGTCACAGAACCAACCGGCAAAAGGATGCAGCGATAAAAGTTCAGCAGAATCTTAGAATTTGAGGTAAAGTTTTTCTGCAGAAAGAAAAGACACTGACAAGTTTTCTTAACGACCTGACGGGTGTTTTTGTCCAGTCTCAGGTCAAAAGACAGTTCAACCCAGAAACGTATCAATAACTTGTGAGAACTGAGACCAACTCCCAGGACACGAGGAGAAGCAGGACTCCGGTCATAAACACACGGTGGGAAAGTGGCCGTGGTCATTACAGACTGAGGCCACATGAAGGAGAGCGAGGGCAGACGTCCACCTCCTCGTCCCGGGACAAACCGGACACTTGGCAGATCCAGGACCCTCTTGGCAGATCCAGGACTCTCTGCCAGGAAGCTCTCGCAGAAATAGCAGCTGGGACCGGACATCAAAGTCCAATGTCAAAGTCTCATTTCACTAAAACACTGTTATGTTTAAGATTTAAGACAGAAAATCTCACCAAGATTTTACATTCTGTCATGTTTGACCACGCTGCTCTACTCTACCCACAACAAACCAGTGTCCGGGGAAATTCCTTGGCAACCACGCCTTCCAGCAGCACTCTGGCCAATCACTGTCAGTGAGAACACTTTAGGACCAGCTCGGCCTCGATAGAACCAGGACCAAGAGGGACTAAAGAAGGACCTGGGACTGGTTACAAAGGACCAGAGGAAATGCTACCAATCAGGGTAGAGTAGAGTAGAGTAGAGTAGAGTAGAGTAGAGTAGAGTAGAGAGGAGAAAGGAGAGAGTCGAGCAGAGAAAGGAGAGAAGAGGAGAGAAAGTGTAGAGGAGAGAGAGAAGAGAGGAGAGAGTAAAGCAGAGAGGAGAGGAGAGAGAGAGAAGAGAGGAGAGAGTAAAGCAGAGAGGAGAGGAGAGAGTAAAGCAGAGGAGAGGAGAGAGAGAGAAGAGAGGAGAGAGTAAAGCAGAGGAGAGGAGAGAGAGAGAAGAGAGGAGAGAGTTCTTATGTCCGTAGAGCAGGTGAGACTAAAGGTTCTGTGTCATGTAATTAACTAGTGTTAATGTTTACAGGTCACAACTAAACACACAGAGGACAGGGGTCAAAGGTTACGGATGAGGTCCAAGACTCACCTCCGAAAAGGAATCCCCCAGAGTCACCGTCCACTGAAGGACACAGAGCAGGACAGAGGACACAGAGAACACAGAGGACACAGAGCAGGACAGAGGACACAGAGGACACAGAAGGACAGAGGACACAGAGCAGGACAGAGGACACAGAGCAGGACAGAGGACACAGAGCAGGAAAGAGGACACAGAGCAGGACAGAGGACACAGAGCAGGACAGAGGACACAGAGCAGGAAAGAGGACACAGAGGACACAGAGCAGGACAGAGGACACAGAGCAGGACAGAGGACACAGAGCAGGACAGAGCAGGACAGAGGACACAGAGCAGGACAGAGGACACAGAGGACACAGAGCAGGACAGAGGACACAGAGCAAGACAGAGGACACAGAGCAGGACAGAGGACACAGAGCAGGACAGAGGACATAGAGGACACAGAGCAGGACAGAGGACACAGAGGACACAGAGCAGGACAGAGGACACAGAGGACACAGAGCAGGACAGAGGACACAGAGAAGGACAGAGGACACAGAGAACACAGAGGACACAGAGAAGGACAGAGGACACAGAGCAGGACAGAGGACACAAAGGACACAGAGAAGGACAGAGGACACAGAGAACACAGAGGACACAGAGCAGGACAGAGGACACAGAGCAGGACGGAGGACACAGAGCAGGACAGAGGACACAGAGAACACAGAGGACACAGAGCAGGACAGAGGACACAAAGGACACAGAGCAGGACAGAGGACACAGAGCAGGACGGAGGACACAGAGCAGGACAGAGCACACAGAGCAGGACAGAGGACACAGAGCAGGACGGAGGACACAGAGCACACAGAGCAGGACAGAGGACACAGAGCAGGACAGAGGACACAGAGCAGGACAGAGCAGAGTCAAAGAATAAAAAATTGAACAATAGAATAATTGTGGTAATTGGTTTAAAATGAATAGATTTTTGGACTTTTCTGTGTTCATTGGTAAAATAAATATAAATATGACTTTAATACGTCAATTATGATTTACAAACATCAGGAAGCAAAGGAAGCATCCTCCACCTCAGTTCACACACATTAGGTTAGATTCCACTCTACGACAGAGGAGTCCAAACCGGTCCAGAAAGGGCCGCTGTGGCTGCAGGTTCTGAGTAAATGGGCGGAGTCTGCTCCTGCTGGGTCTGATGGAAAACCTGCAGCACCAACGGCCCTTTCTGGACCGGTTTGGACTTCTCTGGTCTACGACGTCAGAACAAAGCAGCGATGAGCAGTTCAGCCTCTGGGCAGCGATTTAGTGTCAGGGTCATATTTACATCAGATACATTAAAGGGGAGGTGTATTATCTAATTAAAGGGGAGGTGGGTTATCTCATTAAAGGGGAGGTGGGTTATCTCATTAAAAGGGAGGTGTGTTATCTCCATTAAAGGGGAGGTGTGTTATCTCATTAAAGGGGAGGTGTGTTACCTAATTAAAGGGGAGGTGGGTTATCTCATTAAAGACCTTATGCCGGGTTTGATTTATTTAGAAATACAGTTTTAATACCCTTTTATATTAGAAGAGAACTACTAAAGGTTTCAAAATCAGTTGTTTTTTTTGTCTGATCCCCCCAAATCGAAATAACCCCATAGCAACGCCCTTAGAGACGAAAAAACTTCACAGCCCTTGGTGACGTCAGAGCGGGTACGTTTCAACGCTGTAAGTTGTTTACAATTTGGTATTCGTTCTTTTTTCGCGGATATTCAAGATAACAAGGCCGTGTACAGTGAGTCTGAGATAAGTACTAGAATGTAATTTTTCGTTGTCACTGAGATAGTCCAGTGGTTGTGTCGATGGACTGCCAATTCAGATACTTGGGTTCAAATCCCACCTCGGACACTTTTTCACACTCAAAACGGCAATTTATGTGTAGTGAGCAATTGTCACCTGTAGAGGGCAGTATTGTGTTGGGCACCAGTGGAGAGAAGAGAGAAAAGGCAGTCCTGTGGCATAGATCCATGGTTTTCAATGCATGGGCGTTACCCGCTATGACGTCACACACAGGTTAGAGCATAGACAGCTTAAATTCATGAAAAACACGTTCTTTTTATAAAATATAGGATTTATTTTGCCGGAATGGACAGCACTCAAAAGAAATCAGTGACGTCGCCCGGCATGGCGCAGCCGGGGCCCCACCCTGGAGCCAGGCCTGGGGTCGGGGCTCGTAGGCGAGCGCCTGGTGGCCGGGCCTTAGCCCACGGGGCCCGGCCGGGCTCAGCCCGAATGGACGACGTGGGCAGTCCCTCCTGTGGGCCCACCACCCGCAGAGGGGTCCGTGGTGGCGAAACGGTGCAGAGAGGACTGGGCAGCAGTCGAAGGCGGAGACCTCGACGACCCAGTCCGCACACACAACAGCTGGCTCTTGGGACGTGGAACGTCACCTCACTGGGGGGGAGGTTGAGCGATACCGACTAGAGATAGTCGGCCTCACCTCCACACACAGCTTGGGCTCTGGAACCCAACTCCTTGAGAGGGGTTGGACGCTCCACTTTTCTGGTGTTTCCCGCGGGGAGAGGCGGCGAGCTGGGGTGGCCATTCTCATTGCCCCCCATCTCAGCCGCCACGTGTTGGAGTTCTCCCCGGTGAATGAGAGGGTCGCGTCCCTCCGCCTCCGGGTGGGGGATAAGTCTCTCACTGTTGTGACGGCCTACGGGCCTAACAGCAGTGCAGAGTACCCGGCCTTCTTGGAGTCCTTGGGAGGGGTACTGGACGGTGCACCCGCCCGGGGACTCCGTTATTCTCCTGGGGGACTTCAACGCCCATGTGGGAAACGCCAGTGACACTTGGAGAGGGGTGATCGGGAAGAGCGGCCCCCCTGATCTGAACCCGAGCGGTGTTCAGTTGTTGGACTTCTGTGCCAGTCACAGTTTGTCCATCACGAACACCATGTTCGAGCACAAGGGTGTCCACCAGTGCACGTGGCACCAGGACACCCTAGGCCGGAGGTCGATGATCGACTTTGTTGTCGTATCATCTGACCTTCGACCGCGTGTCTCGGACACTCGGGTAAAGAGAGGGGCGGAGCTGTCAACCGATCATCACCTGGTCGTGAGTTGGATCCGCTGGCAGGGGAAGAAGCCGGTCAGACCTGGCAGACCCAAGCGTATAGTGAGGGTCTGCTGGGAACGTCTCGCTGAGCCCCCTGTCAGACGGACTTTCAACTCACACCTCCGGGAGAGTTTCTCCCAGGTCCCGGTGGAGGAGGGGGACATGGAGTCCGAGTGGACCATGTTCTCTGCCTCAATCGCCGATGCGGCGGCTCATAGCTGTGGTCGCAAGGTCTCTGGTGCTGGTCCCGGCGGCAACCCCCGAACCCGGTGGTGGACACCGGCAGTAAGGGATGCTGTCAGGCTGAAGAAGGAGTCCTATCGAGCCATGATGGTTCGGGGGACTCCTGAGGCAGCTGTCCAGTACCGGCAGGCCAAGCGTGCCGCGGCCCGGGCTGTTGCAGAGGCAAAAACCCGGGACTGGGAGGAGTTCGGAGAGTCCATGGAGCATGACTATCGGTCGGCCTCAAAGAAATTCTGGCAAACCGTCCGGCGCCTCAGGAGGGGGAAGCAGTTCTTTGCCAACACCATGTACGGTGCGGGTGGAGAGCTGCTGACCTCGACTGGGGATATTGTCGGGCGGTGGAAGGAATACTTTGAGGTTCTCCTCAATCCCCCCGTCACGTCCTCTGTTTCAGAGGCAGAGGCTGAGGATGTTGGGGCGGATACATCCATCTCCCTGGCTGAGGTCACCAAGGTGGTTGGTAGCCTCCATGGTGGCAAGGCTCCGGGTGTGGATGAGATCCGCCCTGATTATCTAAAGTCTCTGGATGTTGTAGGACTGTCTTGGCTGACACGTCTCTGCAACATCGCGTGGCGATCGGGGGCGGTGCCAATGGAGTGGCAGACCGGGGTGGTGGTCCCTCTCTACAAGAAGGGGGACCGGAGGGTGTGTTCCAATTATCGTGGGATCACACTCCTCAGCCTCCCCGGTAAGGTCAACTCCAAGGTACTGGAGAGGAGGCTACGGCCGATGGTCGAATCTCGGATCCAGGAGGAGCAGTGTGGTTTTCGTCCCGGTCGCGGAACACTGGACCAGCTCTATACTCTCCATCGGATACTCGAGGGTTCATGGGAGTTCGCCCAACCTGTCCACATGTGCTTTGTGGATTTGGAGAAGGCGTTCGACTGTGTTCCCCGGGGTGTCCTTTGGGGGGTTCTCCGGGAGTACGGGGTCGGGGGTCCTCTGCTGAGGGCCATCCGATCCCTGTATGACCGGAGCCAGAGCTGTGTTCGCATTGCCGGCAGTAAGTCAGACCTGTTCCCGGTGAATGTTGGCCTCCGACAGGGCTGCCCTTTGTCACCGGTTCTGTTCACTGTATTTATGGACAGAATATCTAGGCGCAGCCAGGGGTCGGAGGGGGTCCGGTTCGGGGACCACAGGATTTCATCTCTGCTGTTTGCGGACGATGTTGTCCTGTTGGCTCCAACGAACCAGGACCTGCAGCATGCACTGGGACGGTTTGCAGCCGAGTGTGAAGCGGCTGGGATGAGAATCAGCACCTCCAAATCTGAGGCCATGGTGCTCGACCGGAAAAAGGTGCCCTGCCCTCTTCAGGTGGGTGGAGAGGTCCTTCCTCAAGTGGAGGAGTTCAAGTATCTCGGGGTCTTGTTCACGAGTGAGGGAAGAATGGAGCGTGAGATTGACAGGCGGATCGGTGCAGCGTGCGCAGTGATGCGGTCGCTGTATCGGACTGTTGTGGTAAAGAAGGAGCTGAGCCGAAAGGCAAAGCTCTCGATTTACCGGTCAATCTTCGTTCCCTCCCTCACCTATGGTCATGAGCTTTGGGTAATGACCGAAAGAACGAGATCGCGGATACAAGCAGTCGAAATGAGCTTCCTCCGCAGAGTGGCTGGGCGCTCCCTTAGAGATAGGGTGAGGAGCTCAGTCACACGGGAGGAGCTCGGAGTAGAGCCGCTGCTTCTCCACGTCGAGAGGAACCAGTTGAGGTGGCTCGGGCATCTGTTCCGGATGCCTCCTGGACGCCTCCCTGGGGAGGTGTTCCGGGCACGTCCCACCGGGAGGAGGCCCCGCGGAAGACCTAGGACACGCTGGAGGGACTATGTCTCTCAGCTGGCCTGGGAACGCCTTGGGGTCCCCCCGGACGAGCTGGAGGAAGTGTGTGTGGATAGGGAAGTCTGGGCGTCTCTGCTTAGACTGCTGCCCCCGCGACCCGGCAACGGATAAAGCGGAAGAAAATGGATGGATGGATGGATGGAATCTCTTTCAGATCGACATTGTCATGCAATTTTGAGATCCACATTTTTTTTTTTAAAAACCCGTCATAAGGTCTTTAAAGGGGAGGTGGGTTATCTAATTAAAGGGGAGGTGTGTTATCTCCATTAAAGGGGAGGTGTGTTATCTCATTAAAGGGGAGGTGTGTTATCTAATTAAAGGGGAGGTGGGTTATCTCATTAAAGGGGAGGTGGGTTATCTCATTAAAGGGGAGGTGGGTTATCTAATTAAAGGGGAGGTGTGTTATCTCCATTAAAGGGGAGGTGTGTTATCTCATTAAAGGGGAGGTGTGTTATCTAATTAAAGGGGAGGTGGGTTATGTCCATTAAAGGGGAGGTGGGTTATCTCCATTAAAGGGGAGGTGTGTTATCTAATTAAAGGGGAGGTGTCTTATCTCCATTAAAGGGGAGGTGTGTTATCTCCATTAAAGGGGAGGTGTGTTATCTCCATTAAAGGGGAGGTGTGTTATCTCATTAAAGGGGAGGTGTGTTATCTCCATTAAAGGGGAGGTGTGTTATCTCATTAAAGGGGAGGTGTGTTATCTCCATTAAAGGGGAGGTGTATTATCTAATTAAAGGGGAGGTGGGTTATCTCATTAAAGGTGAGGTGTGTTATCTCCATTAAAGGGGAGGTGTGTTATCTCATTAAAGGGGAGGTGTATTATCTCCATTAAAGGGGAGGTGTGTTATCTCCATTAAAGGGGAGGTGTGTTATCTCATTAAAGGGGAGGTGTGTTATCTCATTAAAGGGGAGGTGTGTTATCTCATTAAAGGGGAGGTGTGTTATCTCCATTAAAGGGGAGGTGTGTTATCTCCATTAAAGTTTGAGGATGAAGAGGAGACACCTACCCTCTACCTCCACATCGTCTTCAGAGCAAAGAGAGAAACACAAACATCAGTTACATTTTATAATAACAAAAAAGTTAAAAACAATAAACCTAAAACTAACACTAAAAACTACTGAAAGCTCCACAAGAGACAAGGACAGCTGTAAAAGTACTCTACTCTACTCTACTCTACTCTACTCTACTCTACTCTACTCTACTCTACTCTACTCTACTCTACTCTACTCTACTCTACTCTACTCTACTCTACTCTCGGACCATGAAGGACTAAAGAAGGACCTGGTACTGGTTACACAGGACCAGAGGAAACACTCCCAATCAGGAGAGAGTAGAATAGAGTAGAGTAGTTATAGACAGTTACCCAGTGAGATCCCACAGACTGCTTTAAAGCATAAATACATGAGTTAGTTTAATAATAATAATAATAATAATAACAATGATAATAATAATAATAATGAGTTTGTGACTGAATCCACACAGATCTTGTAAAACACGTGAGAAAAACACTGCAGTTGTTTAGAGCCGTGTCCGACGACAGGAAGGAGTCCAAACTAAATGAGTCTAAAGTTGCAGCAGAGAAATGACCAGAGACTGGACCTTAAACAGATGAAAGAGACAGAGGTCTGAGGGCCACAGCGGGGGCCACAGCGGGGGCCACAGCACCTGGTGGTTGTGGGTTTGATTCCCTCTCGCCTCATGTCACCTGCTCCCAGAGTAACATTAGAGCAGACGCTAAACCCCAGATCTGACGCGTGACTCTGTGGTCTGCGCTCGCTCAGACTGAAGGACTGAATGTTACACGTGTCTTCGTTCCAACATCAAGATTATCACTAATTTGAGGTTTTCTCCAGGAATAAGATCCATCACAAACTCTGGCTCCGAGAGCGGGTTTTCCAGCTCAGTGTTCCAGCTCCAGGAGAGATTTCAACATGAGGCAGAAACACACTCTACTCTACCCTTACCCTACCCTTACTCTACCCTTACTCTACCCTTAGTCTACCCTTACTCTATCCTTACCCTACCCTTACTCTCCCTTACTCTACTCTACTCTACCCTACCCTTACTCTACCCTTACTCTACCCTTCCCTACCCTTACCCTACCCTTACTCTACCCTTACTCTACTCTACTCTACCCTACCCTTACTCTACCCTTCCCTACCCTTACCCTACCCTTACTCTACTCTACTCTACCCTACCCTTACTCTACCCTTACTCTACCCTTCCCTACCCTTACTCTACTCTACTCTACTCTACTCTTACTCTACCCTTACTCTACCCTACTCTTACTCTACCCTTACTCTACCCTTCCCTACCCTTACCCTACCCTTACTCTACTCTACTCTACTCTACTCTACTCTACTCTACTCTACCCTTACTCTACCCTTACTCTACCCTACTCTTACTCAACCCTGAGTGTTTCCTCTGGAGGAGGTGTGTGTGAGGAGAGGGAAGTCTGTGTCTCTGCTCAGACTGCTGCCTCTATGACCCGGCAACAGATAAAGTGGAAGAGCATGGATGGATGGATAGTTTTTCCATGGCACCAGATCAGAATCTTGAAACACTGATGCTGCAGGATCAGAGCCGGTTGGACCCTCGGGTCTCGGCTGCTGCTTTTACGCGTTCTCTGGGTCTCTTTGCCGACACCTGGTCCTTGTGGAAGACACGGCTAAAGCTACGCTAACACTGAGGCTGTAAACGGGGAGTTATGGAGAGTTATGGGGTGATGTCAGCGCGACAGGAGGCTCCTCCAGCTGGACGCCTCGCGCTCTATGACTCTGTGATCTCTGTTTCTTATAGGGGCCTCCAGGGGCCTCCATGGGCCTCCATGGGCCAGTACGTCCTCCTCAAGACACGCGAAGACACGCGCTCAGGACTGGATCATTTACAGAGCTGGCTACGAGTGAGACTGGACTCCCACTCCCCCCTGCACATGGGGAGGAGCACAGGGACTGGCCTCCTGCTGGGACTCTGAGGAGCACAGGGACTGGTCTCCTGCTGGGACTCTGAGGAGCACAGGGACTGGCCTCCTGCTGGGACTCTGAGGAGCACAGGGACTGGCCTCCTGCTGGGACTCTGAGGAGCACAGGGACCTAAATCTCTGCACCCTCCTGATCCATGGCTCCATAATGGCCCATAATGTCTGACTTTGCTACAACCTCTCAGACTATAATTGAACATTTCTGCTCCAAATCCACTCAGATCTGAAAGCGTTTACTGCGGGGAACAGGATGAGGGTTTGGGGGTTCAGTTTGGGGGTTGGGGGTTGAGGGTTCAGTTTGGGGGACTGGGGTTCGTGGTAATGCGTCTGGCTCTGGATGTCGGGAAGACCCAAGGTGAGCTCTAACTGTGTACACGTGTCGAACCCAAGGCTCCAGGACGGGGAGGGTGAGGAGAGGGTGAGGAGGAGTCTCACGTCAGTGGCTGGAGTGAGGCCAGGAGCACAGGGAGGGGGGGGGGGGGGGGGGGGGGGGAGGGGGGGGGGGGGGGGGGGAGGTAACAGACAGCGGGACATGGAGATGTTTGGGAGAGAAACAAGCCACAGGAGAAATGTCAGAGGAAAGTACACTGATCTATAGCCCTGACTACCCTACCCTACCCTTCCATACTCTACCCTACTCTCCCCTACCCTTCCATATTCTACCATACTCTACCCTACCCGACTCTACCCTACCATACTGTACCCTACCATACTCTCCCCTACCCTACCCTACTCTACTCTACTTTACTCTCCCCTACCCTACTCTAGTACATAGATTGTCGCTGCAGACAGAAGCTCTCTCTGGAGGACGTGCCCTGTGCTCCTGTTCCACACTCAATGCTTGTTCTGTGCGTTGCTTCACACTGGAATCAAACTCCAACCGGAGCGTCTCTCATCGCCGCAGAAGCCGCATCAGCTACAGCCGCAGCCGACGTTATTTATTCCCAGAGAAAACCGACACGCTCAAACAACACGCGCCTCTGATCCACGCCAAGAGAAATATTGATGCAGCCGACGGAGCTCCCGGGCTGGAACAGGAGAGGGGGGAGAGGGAGAGGGGAGAGAGAGGGGAGGGAGGGGGGAGAGAGGGGGGAGAGAGAGGGGAGGGAGGGGGGAGAGAGAGGGGAGAGAGAGGGGGGAGAGAGAGGGGAGAGAGAGGGGGGAGAGAGAGGGGAGGGAGGGGCGAGAGGGGAGAGAGGGGAGAGAGAGGGGGGAGAGAGAGGGGGGAGAGAGAGGGGAGACCTGCCTCGCCCCTGGTCTCTCTCTCTGGTCTCTCTCTCTGGTCTCTCTCTCTGGTCTCTCTCTCTGGTCATTTTATCTTTCAGACATTAAAAAAAGAAAAAAATAAAACAAGATGGCCGCCTTCTCCGCCGCAGCGACAGAACTACTGTAGAATAACCGAGC